AATAATAATAAGAAAACTCAAAACCACCACCGTAAGGTGGTGGTTGCCGCCTCCTGCCGCCACCAACCGCCGTGTTGGGTGGCGGTGTGCTTTTGCTTGCGGTAGTTTCTTTTTGGATGCTTGGACAAAAATGGGATAAAAACCCTAACTGCCACCGTGCGGTGGTCGCCGCCGCCGTGAGCCGCCATTGACCACCACTACCCGAGGTGGTAGTGGGTGGTGCCCGACTAACGAAACCCTAATGGGCCTAATGAAACCCTAACTGATCTAAAGACTTAGTTTTGGGCCTGTTGAATTGTGATTAGGTTGGAAACCCTAATTAGTGTTTAGAAAACCCTAATTTTGGATATATGGATTATGGGTTGTCGGGACCCGCATTTTGGATGACCGGATTGTGATTATGTATTAAGCCCGGCCACACTACATGATTGACCCAATAGATTGATGGACTTAATGGATTAAGTCCTTAATGAGTTAAGTGAGAAACACTTAACCCTAATCGTCATTTTATGTGAAAACCCTAATTTCACTTGAGCCTTAAGTTGGGCCTTTCTATTGGGCTTTGGTTATTGGGCCAATAACGGGCCATCCAAGAATAATCATATGGACTAGAATATTTAGATGGGCTTTTGGGTAAGACTCATATGTGGGGTTGGGCCCAATTTGGAAAATTGGGCCATAGATGGGCCGTAATTTGGGCCTTGATGGTTATGAGATATTGGGCCATTAGAATTGTAATGTTTGGACTGGAATAAATGGTTGGGCCTTAGGATAAGACCATGTAAAGGTTTGGGACCAATTTGGAAAATTGGGCCATAGGTTGGGCTTTGACTCGTAGGTGACTCTTGGGCCTTTGGATTGGGCCTTGGGCTTGAATAAAGCTAAGTTAGGGGTAAAGTAGTATTTACCCCAAGTATGTACTTATGGTTATGTGTTGGAACCCAATTATTAATAGGGTGTTATTTTCATGTTTACAGATCGGGAATCTGTCATCCAGCAGCTAGAGTTTTCGTCTGCGGGACATCAACAGTGTGAGGTGAGTTACCTTCCAGTAGAAGTGGGTCTACGGCCACAATGTTGGCCCACTAGTAGGAGTTATTTGATTAGATGATTGTCTTTGTGATAATTATCTAAGTTTTCTACTGCTTGATATGTTTTTATGTGCTAGCGTAGTATGATGTTATGTGATAGTGGTAGTAGGGGGAATAGTCCCCGTGTCACGGTCGTAAGGACCGAAGGGTAGGTCGGGCACCCCAGAATTGCCTGACAGTATGTTTATGCTATGTTATTATATGGTAGTAGTAGTAGGGGTGAAATAGTCCCCGTAGCTGGTTCAGATAAACCAGAGGGTAGGTCGAGCACCCCAGAATGGCTTGGCATGGGTAGCTCAGGCACCCGAGAATTGCCTGGCAGGGTAGGTCGAGCACCCCAAAATGGCTTGACATGGGTAGGTTAAGCACCCCAAAATTGTTTGGCAGTATGTTTGTCATGTGGTATGTGGTATGATGGGGGAACTCACTAAGCTTCGTGCTTACTGTTTACAGTTTTGGTTTCAGGTACTCGTTTTCAAAGGAAATGAGTCGGCTTGATCGCAGCGCATCACACTATGTTTTCCGCACATGAGATCTTTGGGATTGAACTCTGATATTGTTTTATGATAACATGTTTTGATTATTGATACTTTGGGTTCGACATGGGATGTTTTATGGATGTTTTTATACTATTGGTTTTATGAGTTATTAAACTAAAAATGAAATTTTTGGTCTTGAATTTTGGGATGTTACAACACAGAAACTGTCTGAAACAGTAGGTTGCCTTCTGGTTTCTTCCAAAATCCCCTGATTCCTCCCTGGTCCCAATTCGTCAGCCAGTTATCCGAAATACTGGGTTCCATCCCGGTTTCTGAGCCAAAAGACTTCCACACAATCGCCTCACATGACTGTCGAACGAAGTCCTCATCTGTCAGTAGTTGCCATTAGTTATTTTGCCACTATGGCTCTAACGACCTCCTGATCCAACCGATCGGGTCCATACGTCGAATCCTGACGTCACCAAATCCAAGGCTAAAAGTGATTGCTACATGACCAAGGGTAGCCTTATATCACAAACGACATTAAAAGGTCCATTGCTTCATTGATCCCATGATTGCAGTGGTGTTCCTACGGCCTTATCACTGGATCAACCAGGTCTAATTCATATGGGGAAATTCATAAACCAATTCGTGGATTTGCCACGCCCTCACTGCTGCACCTGAATTAGTGGGTACTACTGTTCCTTTCACGATCTAACAATACTCCCATGCTATCTACCAACCTAGTGAATGCTACGGCTACATCCGCAGTCTTACAACACTCTAGCACTATCTTCCAACCTTGTAAATGATGCGGCTACACCCGCAGACTTATAACACTCTAGCAGTATCTGCCAACCTTGTGAATGCTATGGCTACACCCGCAGACTTACAACATTCTAGCACTATCTGCCAACTTTGTGAATGCTACGGCTACACCCGTAGACTTATAACACTTTAGCACTATCTTCCAACCTTGTGAATGCTACGGCTACACCCGCAGACTTACAACACTCTAGCACTATCTGCTAAGCTAGGTCCCACCACCAATTCAACTATACCCATCCTAGGTCGAACACGCATTCGACCTAACACTCAACTGAACTTGAGTCCTAACTGAACCTCTAACCTGGTCCCCGAAACCTGCTATCCGATGCCAAGGAAAGCGTGGACCAAATGTTGGAACGTTTTCCGAACTCCCAACTCACACAATCCTCAACTTGGACGACCACTTGACCGTCTTCCTCCCTGACGGGGATGTGAAACTCATCCTAGTTTCACACCTATTTTTGCTTCTGAATACCTGATCGATTCTCCCCCACTTAGATTCGACTAAGTCTTCACGGCACGTGAGAGTTAAAGGTTTCCCAACCGGGTTGACTCAGTCAGTACATGGGGCAAGCTCCTCGTGTATGCTGGGCGTAACTCGCAGTTGACCGAGGATCAGGACGCTAACTTCGTACGCTCAGTGTACCCTTCGGTACGCCCTGCGTACGAGGCTGCTTTCCAACCTCCTAAATAAGTGATTAATCCCTTAAGAACTTGTGTCCAAACTTCAGATCGAAGTCACAAACGATGTTCTAAACCATAAAGTTTCCACCTTTATGGTCTTGCATGGCTATTAAGTCCCAAACTCCAAAAACTTTAGTGTCTTAAGCCATTAAGACCCTCTAGCACTTGCATGGAGGGAAACTAGTGTCCAAGAACCCAGCTTTATGACTTAACACCCCTTAAAACCTCTGAAAGGACAACTCAAATCCCTTGGAGTACCTTCTACTCACAAAGACCAAGTTTGGGACCAAAAAGGCAACAACTTGAGTAAAAGCTAGATCCATGAGATTTCTACATCAAGTTTGAAACTTTTTACCTCCACAAGGTGCACAAGGGGGACAAGATGCTGGATCCAAAGCCTTGAGTGAAACACCACCACTTCAATGCTCTCCCTTCTACTCCAAAACCTTCAAAAGGGCACCAAGAATGGCTCAACAAGCTTTACAATGCACAAACACTCTTTAGGGTTTCGAAATGAAGAGGGAGACTGATGAGAAGAAGGTACATGAGGCCATATATGCCTTGGAATCTTAGTATATCAAATAAAGATGTAGTTAATGTCTCTTTCACCCAATATTTTCATTTTAGGTTCGGTTAGTCTCATAACTACCCAATAGCCAAAAACTTTAAGATATCCAAAGTTTGGTTTTTTTTATACCAAAGTTCATGGAATTATTTTTTCCCTTTTTTTTAAACCCTACTAAATATGTAGAAAGTTGTTAACACATCTTCTTCCCATAATCCATCACTCAATCCCGAATATGACATCATAGATTTTAACATTTTGTTAAGAATTCTATTTTTCTTTTCTAATATTCCATTTCTTTCAAAATTTATACGAAGACTGCATAAACTTCACAATCTTCTTTTTTATTTAAATTAATTGCCTTAACAACATATGCAATAGGTTTAGGGTTAGTGAACATGAAGAAGAAACTTGAATAAACATAAGAAATGGAAACTACCAACCAAAAAGGTAAGTGGTGATTGTAAACGCAGAGAGGTCTTAACTACATTCAAAAGAAGGATCGATCGGCACCAATCGTTTCAATAATTTAGGAACATATGGGAGTGGTGGTATGATATGTACAACGGAAATCGTGGATGAATACAAAAGGGTGGACGACACGTCGGGGAGCTAGAGGAGGGGAGCACGACTCGGAATTCCGGAAGGTGAAGCCTATCTGCATAACGGAACATGAACATTTTTTAATCGATGTTGATATTCATGGTGTCCTTTAATTAACAGGTGGCGTCATGTAAACCAGATGAAATTCCTATAGGCGGCAGGAGGAAATTAGGGTTTTTAAATATAACAATGATTTAAAAAATTACGAACTATTATATGCGATCATACTTTTAGCACATCTCCTCTCAAATACATTTCACTTTTCAGTTTTGGTATTGTAACGTGTTAAATCTCACATCGTTGCTTGCTTGTATATATGTACAAATCTTTTACACGTATATTTCATGAGAAGACATCAAACAAATATAAATTACGTAATGGGCTATTTTTATTATATTCAATTGATTATTTCATATATTTGCACGATCATTTATGTACCAATGAATTGGTAATGACGGAAGAATATTGATATACATAAAATTGAAGATCTAGCTAGCTAGGAGGGCGGAGGCTGTAGGGTTGTTTGCGATTCAACTAAATCAGGCTACATTATTATTATTATTAACTCAAATGAAATTATTACAATTCAATGGTGACGATTATAGATACAAAAAAAAAAAAAAAAAAAGCGGTGTAGGTTCAATTAATATAAACCCAGCTTTTCCAACGAACCAATGTCTTCATACAAGCATAGGAATGGGCAAAAACGCCTATATATATCGTCACCTTGCACAACATTTTCTTGCACCAGTAACCATTGCAATCACATAGAAAGGAAAACACAAGTTTCTTACTCAGTACTCGTATTTTTGAAAAATGGCTAGAATCGTAATGATGGTCTTATGTGTAGTCGTTACTTGCATGGTGGTGGCGGAAACCTATGCTCAGGCTATTACCTGTGATCAGGTGGTTAGTGACTTATCGCCATGCTATGGCTACTTAACAAATGGCGGTGCTGTGTCATCGGCATGTTGCAGTGGGGTTGAGGCACTCAATAGCGCTGCAAATTCAGCCTCTGCTCGTCAGACTGCATGTAGCTGCTTGAAGAGTGCTTACTCATCCAACTCCGGCATCAATCTCTCTAACGCTGCCAGCCTTCCCAGCGAGTGTGGTGTCAACCTTCCTTATAAGATCAGTCCAAGCACCGACTGTTCCACGTATGTTAAAATATATGTTTATATTTGTATTTTATCAGTTTTCGTTTATTTTTGCATGAACACGCATAAAACTGTATTGACGTGGTTTGACATATGGTGATTTCTGTAGGGTGGAGTGACGCGGAGATTCTTATGCATGTTTGGAAGACTGGAAGCATATATATCTAATTTACAATAAATATCGAGAGCATTGTATAACTGTTAGACATATATGACTGTATGTGTCTCTTTAGTATGTACCGGCCTTAATTTCACTTCAAATAATGTTCTTGTAATTGCAATTTAATTAATAGACGAATATATAATACTCAGAATACGCATATAACTTATACCAAATATGAAACTTATCTTGACATATATTTAACATATATGGTTAAGATCAATGGTACGGTGGATTAAAAAAACTGTTTCTATTCAACACAACTATAATAAAGAGTTGCAAATTCAAAATTTTGGAGAAAGACTTTAAAGAGAGAAGAATTACAGGAATAGGAGGAGCACTTTGTGAAGGAAGATAAGAAACTTTTATTGATCACTCGATCAAGTGTACATCAGAATTATGTACAACATGTATATAGGGGCCAAACATCGCAGATTCCTTCAAGTGAACCACATATAGCACACTTTCAAGGCAGACTTTCTGGACAGCCATAATCGTTTCATCTATATCCTTAATTACTAAATTAACCCTAATAAATATTAATCTTAATTTCAAACACACCCCCATTATGCCCTTTTAACACATCACCACGCTTGAGTTTTGCTTTGCTGTCATATTATATATAACATAAAAGCTTGGGAGCAGTGACTTTTTTTTCTCTTTCTTCTGCTGCCACTGAACTTTACCTTTTCATAAAAAACCCCCAATTCTTCTCTTCTTCCCTTTCCTTCTCCGCCTTGCCCCCTCAATACAAATTCGTTCGCTTTTCTCTATTTCCTTAACTTTCCTGCGATGAGCGACTGGTGCTCCGATTCATCACCCCACCTCCTCACCACCGATTACGGCCCCTGCTCACCTAGACGGTACCGCCGCCTCATCGGCTTCTTCTGCTTCATTCTTCCACCGATCGGTGGGTATTCCTGGCTCGATTCTTCCAAAACCCACCGCTTCCACAATAACCAACAAAACGTTTACGTATTCTGTTTCTGCCCTCTCTTTCTTATCTTGCATCTGCAAATTCACCATGTCGCATGCCATGTATCATCAATTTGGGAACCGGAAGACGTGGTGCTGTCGTTGATGGATTTATTCCGCCGCCGTCGATGTTTTCTTCCAAACCTCCTTAATAGGTTATTCCTGATTTGACTAATGTTATATACTTATGTAGAATTTATAAGCTGCATTGTTATCTGTTGCTTACTACTATTTGATATTATTTTTATAATTGTGTTTTTTTTGGATACCTTTTCAGCTTTTCATCAAGTTTTTACGTATTTTTTCTTATTGATATCACATAATATGTTACTAATGAAAGTATGTTACTATTTCCTTCTGCAGGTTTTACGATTCATCATGCAACAAAACCCGAAGAAAAAATGAAAAAATGATTATCCATGATGACAAGGGACTGCAATTGTTTCTATAAAATCATGGTTTCTGCTTCTTTCAAAATAAACATTCCAAATTACTTTTGGACACAAGAAATAACAATCTATTTTGATGGCAAAATACATAAAAGCTACTATATTTTGGTCTTTTTTGTACATAAGTATATGAATATGATGTTTCCTCAAATCAAATCACTGCTCTATCTATCCTCGATCCTCATTACAGTTTTTTTGCTGTTCAAATTGATTTATGAATGGTTAAATCAGTCAACCAAATTCCATTCCGATTTGAACCAAACCAAGTTACAATTTGATTATCAAAACATTTTAATATATATATATATATATATATATATATATATATATATATATATATATATATATATATATATTGAGTATAAACAGTTTGAGTTTTGAAGTTTAAATCCATTTTGCAACAACAAAACTAACAAAACAGGGTTGTAATGGTGTGCGTTATTTCATTGCTCGGTTCCCCAAATCAGCTTACATCTCCCCTGAACATTATCTATATTCAGATTCGTTTGTGAAACGAACTATTTCTTCAGCATATTGAAAGCAAATGCTTGAAGATACTTGTAAGATAATAAAAGGATGGTTGTGATGGGTTTTTAAGTTTTGAACACCAACTGCTTGACAAAACTCCTCAATGAAAAATCTAAACTCCTCAATGAAAAATCTGGTCAAGATTGTGTTTCTACTTGGTAAACTGTATCATCTATCTCTTCTTTTACATTAAACTTATATTTGTTTCTACCCTGTGAAAAATTTAAGTGGGTGAATTCTTGGATATGCTTATCCAGACAGGATGACTCTATGAAATTAATCGGATGACTATGAAATTAATAACCTTGAATTCATCTTACAAGCCTTGGTTATAGGTGGATGTGAACGAGGCTTCCACATACATTGTTATGCAGGTCAAACATGAGTTTTTCCTTCTTTTTTTTTTTTTTTTTTTTGATATTTATCATTTGTAAATATTGCATTTTTTTCTTTTTTCTTTTTGATGTTAAGGAAAAGATGGAAAACGTGAATTTTTTTTATGCATCAGATGAATAGATGTTTTTATGTTTATACTTATACATTATTTGCCTTCTTTTTGCAGCTATTTGAGATGAAGGTTTGAGTTGCAACTTTTCAGCAGGTAAGAAGTATTTTTTAAGTAAATTGACGAAATTAGAAATGAGCTTTAGTAGCAAAAAAAACTAATTATATTATGCCCCCTGCTCATTTAAAAGTTTTTTTCAACGTTTTTAATTTTATGTTGTTTTTTAGGTTCATATTTTTGTCGTAGAAAGAAAAATTGATTGATTGTGCAACGCTCTTTGACTTTTAGTGGCAATCGTATACGCTAAAACACATGGTCTCATATTCATCTTATGTTGATGCTATGAGGCGATAATTGATTGTTTGGCTAATAAATATGTCAGAGAGGGTGTTTTTCAGCATGCAATTCGTCAACGATTTCTTGGTTTGCATAAATTTTAAAGCTTTTGTGTCAAAAATAAATTGTATATTCTAAAAGTTTTTTGTTTTATTTTATTGCAGTTTCAGCAGACATAGGCCATGGAATTCACCCCAATTTCATGGAAAAACACTAAAAACACCATTGCACAGAATTGAACAAACGCCTTGTGATAAAGAACTATGCAAACCAAGACAAATGCTAAAACCTATAGCCTTGCAACTCAGGTGAGACTATATTTTGTAAATTTACAATGATTAATTTTTTTTTATTTTCTAATAAAAAGGATTTATATGTAGGATTTTATGGTAAAGGACGAAGCAATTCATACAAACCATTCATCTTCCAACCACTACAGGTATAATATTTTTTCTATTGTTTATAAATTTGAGCAGGTTTTAACAATTTAAGCAATACATTTTCGTTTCTTTTTCAGTGATAAAGGGTAATTTCGGAATACAAAATTCACCAACGGATTCCATTCCGAAATCCGAATGGCAAAATTACTTCTTTGGCAACACTTTTGGAACCGAGTTGAAACCGTAGATAAATTTGAAGATTTTTCAAAATCTTTCATAGACGAGGAAGATGAAGAACGGAACCTCCCACCCCAGTTTGCACAAACCAGAATGGAATTAACCCCTTTTTGTCAACATCAAATAATCACTAACTCTGTTCAAGAACATGGTGTGGATTTTGGTAAAGCCATTCAAGTATCTTTTATCTCTCAATGCCCAACAGAATATCAAAAACCCAGTCTACCAAATTCGGTAAATTACACAAATACCCCTTAACTATTTTTTTAAAGACTTTGGGCTTATGATAAAGTTTATATCTTCTTACTTCAAAACATGAAAACCTGATTGAGTGTTATTCAAGTGGGTCTGAAGATGATTCTGGGAGAATTTAAACATTACTAAAATGTTGTCTTTACCTTCCACAATCTTTAAATTTTCAGGAAACATTTGGGTTTACTGCAGGATTAGACCTACATTTCATTTAGAACTGACACAAAGAACGTGATTTATTACATTGGAGAAGATAGGTCATTAGTGGTTTTAGAGCCTTTAAAACATCATAAAGATGGAAAAAAGTTGTTTCGAACCGCGTTTTGAGTCCAACCGGTACTCAAGGTAATAATAAAATTCAAACATTTTTCCACAATTAGAATCTTCTGTTGACTAATGTTTTGACTATTATCAGAGGAGGTTTTTTGCTAACAAGAGAAAAAAAACGAACACAGCGCTAACGGCGCGCATGATTCCCTTCTAGTTACTCTTGTTTCTTAAATTAGGTACACTATTGTATCACTACAAGAAATCATGGCTTTAGCGGCGACACAATTACCGGCGACGTTGGCTTTTAGCGCGACGCAACCATTTGTCGCCGCTAAAAGCTTGTGTCGCCGTTAAAGGCTTTTCACCCAAATCCGCGTTATCCCATTCTGATAGACCTCAGCCGTTCGATCGAGTATCTAATCTAACGGTTGTGGCATTTTATCCGCACAAAACCAATACCGGCGACATTGTGTCGCCGCTAAAGGTCGAAAACGTCGCCGCTAATTGTGCTATAAAAAAAGACGCGGTACCCTTCCCTCCAGATAGTCGCCGCTGTTAACATTTGTCGCCGGTAAAGCCTTTATTGTCGCCACTAAAGGCGCGCGCAGATAAAAAGAAAACAAATTACGCATTCTTCACTTTTCCTTCCTGTGTTCGATGAAAGACGCATTCTGGTTCGTTCTTGCCCTATTTTTTGCGAGTTATCGTCGATCCCAACAAGAAATCTCCCCAACATTGTGAGATTAGGGATCAAATGTGTTTAGGGCTTCAATTAAACGGGTTTAACTCATGAAAACAGCAAATTACTAGCTTTATTTCGGGTAAAAAGGTAACTTCAAGTTCTTATATCTCTTTGTCTTTCTCTTTTAACATTGATTTCTAGCTCCATTTGATGATTAATTGCAAATTATTTTTCAATTTCATTGTTCTTTGTCGTTTTGTCTTTGGGTTTACTGTACCGGCTGGCGGGTGAGAGTATTTTCCGGTGAGGACCAATTTTTCCGGCGACATTGAGTATTTTCCGCCATTACACGTTCTATTTACTTCTATTTATTGTGAAATTTGAGTTTATTTGCAAGCTATGTGTAGTTATATAAATTATGTGAAAATTGGCATATGTTTGATATATGTATGTGAATCTATGTAAATTTGGTGTATATATGTCAATGTATATGTGTTTGGTGTGTATGTGCAATATGAATCTGAAATATGTGTATTTGGT